AGAAGGCTCCCTGCCGAGCAAGGAGCTCGATGTGGGACTCGATCCCAGGACGCTGGGATCATGACCTGAGCCGAAGGCAGCTGCTTAACCAACTGAGCCACCCAGGCGTCCCTCTTCCAGCTTTTCTAACTGGCGTTCTCTCACCTGGGAAGGCTCAGCACAAATGCTCCTGGAGAGAACTTGCAGTCCTCTCCTCTGCGCTTCCTATTTGTGCATCACTTCTATGGACCTTTGAACCTGCTGTGTCCCATTGCTCGGCTTGTTCTCCTCACACCTTGGACTGTGAGCTCTTGACCATGATGGACTTGTATGCCCAGTTTCTGACAGGGCCAGGGACAAAACTGTGCTTGGTGATGGAATGTTGATGGATGTCCCAATGGGTGTCCTGCTCAGAGAACCAGTCTTCATGTGGCTGAGACATTCAACCTTCCAAATGCTGACCTTTCTGAAGAGCCCTGGAGGCTGTGAGGCAGGGTCTCACACGGGGTGTACATGTTCATGCTCCCCAGGCCTGGGAGAGGGGAGGTGGCCACGCGGAGTGGGATTTGAGGGAAGGGCCTTCTCCCTCCTCCCAACCCCTGCATAAAAATCTCTCCTATATGATGGAAGGCTCAGTCCTCAGTTCCCATGCTTTGAAAACCTGTGCTTGAAGCAAAGATTTAAAAATAAAAAAAACCACCATTTCCTGAGGACTCAGCTTACATCAGTGATACATGCAATATCCCATTTAATCATCATTGCCGTCTTGTGTTCACCTGTCCTCATGGGCGGGTGAGGAAACAGAGGCTCTTGGATATTGATTTATATACCAGAGACTGCTTGGGCTCACCGATACCTAGTCTCCTCATCCTCCGAGGATCGTAGATGATATTTTTCTGGTCTCCTTTGCAGTAGGTGGTCCATGGATATAGGAGGGTGGAGGCAGGGGGCTCGGCCCTTCGTCAGGTTGTGGTCCATTAAAAATAAAATAGTCACGGGGCGCCTGGGTGGCTCAGTGGGTTAAGCCTCTGCCTTCAGCTCAGGTCGTGGTCTCAGGGTCCTGGGATCGAGCCCCACATCGGGCTCTCTGCTTGGCGGGGAGCCTGCTTCCTCCTCTCTCTCTGCCTGCCTCTCTGCCTACTTGTGATCTCTGTCTGTCAAGTGAATAAAATCTTAAAAAATAAAATAAAAATAAAATAGTCATTCACAGGGTCTTGGCTCTTTCTCCCTCAACCAGCTCAGTGGAGAGGATGTCAAAGATTCTGAGGATCTAGAAGAGCAAGCCGCAGGACGAAAGGAGGCTGGGGCTCTGAGGGACAGCGTGAAACAGAGCCATTTCCATCCCTGACCCACAGCGGATGGCTATATGAGTAAGAACTCAAGGTTTCTGCGTTAACTTATGTTGGGTTTATCTCTTGCAGCCTCTACTGCTGTGGACCCCACTGATCCATATAACCATCTCCAGCTCCCATGTTCAGTGAGGGGTCCAGTGAGATTTTGTTTCCAGGCAGGCTGACTTCAGAGTGCACAACTCTATCCCCTGCACTGCCTTTCCAGAATTCAGTAACAAGGGGCAGATACCTTGAGAGAGGTCAGGCATTCCGTCCTGTCATTCTGGGACTAGCCTGAGGACAGGCAAGGAGCGGATTCTTACCCAAGGCTGTCTCCCCATCCCATGTTATGGGTCTGTGTGTATTATGAGGGGTTGGACTGGGCTGGGTGTAGTAGGAAACTCATGAGTAATTCAGAGATGGTTGGCATACAAGGGGAGAGTTTCAGGCTCTTGTGCATTTCTGGTGACATGGGATTCCCCGAGTGCCATACTATGTGTCCGTAGTCTACCTTCCACCTACGGGTCTGGTTGGGGCAGAGGAGCTCTGGGTTGAGGGAGCTCCCCACTGGTTTTTTGCTTGTGATGAACTCTGTCGTGGATGGTCCCACTGGCTGTTTCTCCCCAGGGAGACACAACGCAGTGGTTAACCCCTTTGTAGCACCCACCCAACCAAGATTCAGGCTGGCGCCATGACCCGCGGGAGGCTGGTCTGCGAGTGCAGGTGCAAGTGGTCCTGATGCCCATGGGATTAAGCAAAGCAGGTGGTGGAGCACACAGGAGCAGCGGTCTCCCGCCTCCCCGCTGAGGGGAAATGGACCAGACTCACTTGGCAAAGATGTTCATCTGTGCTTCTGAGAGGGAAGTTGTCTGAGACATTTTTGTCCTCCTGTTTGCTTTACTAAATCATAGCTTTTGCTCTACCGATGATGCTAACAGGGCCCATGAGACCCGACACCTGGTGTAAAGCAGGCTAACCTGGCCTTTCTCCCCCATCCTCCCACCTGGGGAAGTGACCCCTGGCCTGGCTGCATGGCTGGGAAGGGGGTAGCGGCTCTCCGAGCGCTGGAGGGGGTCTCTTGCTGTGCTAACTAGACTTCCTGGGGAGTATCTGAAATCAGCCATGACTGGGCTTGAATCTGACTCCACCACTTACCAGCTCTGAGGTGGCAGGGGGTGGTGGGGTGGGGTGGGGTGGGGGGTGTAACTAGCTTCAGTCTCCTCACCGGCAAAGTGAATGCAATCTACCCCCTCAATTCACTTCTACTCCCTGCTGTAGTCCCAAATGCCTCCATCTCAGGCCAGTGGTCACCAGCCTTCTCTGTTGTCTTATGCAGATGACCACATCTGCTCCCCAACCTGTTCTCCACACTATATCCAAAGCATTGGTTTATGAGATTAAAACAGACTCCCTCTTGTTTTTAATTAAAACAACAACAACAGCAAAAAAGAAAAAAAAAAAAAACAACCCAGTCTTTAATCTGTTCATCTTCTGATTCCTGCCAAGCTCTTCTGTGTTCTCGCCTGGCTCACCACTGGCCCTTTGCATAGGCCAGTGCCCTGGGTCCGGATTGCATTCCTTTCTCTTCATCTGGTCAATGCTTACTTTCAGATTGCGGCAACTTCTAGGCCATTCTCACTCTAGGTTACCTTTCCAGTTATGTGCTTCCATGACTATACATCTTTATTTAAAAAAAAAATTTAATTTTCAGTTAAAAAAAATTTGTTTTCCATAGCTTTATACACCCTCTTGGTGCTTAACATCCCGCCATTTTCATTACTTAGGGTAATGCTTTATCATTTGTCTACAAGAGGCAAGGACCCACATGGATGTCTACCCACCTTCTTTAGCCCCTGAGCACAGGACCTGGCGTGGGACCAACTCTCTATAGAATGCTGCCGAATGAATGAAAGATGAGGACTAAATGAAAATATTGTGTGCAGAGTACTTAGCACTATTCTTGGCATTAGTAAGCATCAACAAATACTAGCTGTTGTTGATAATATTACTCTGTGGGCTTGATGGAAAGAAAAAAAAAAACTCGTCTAAATCGTAAGTGTTCTTCTTACTTGGGTTGCCCCCGCTGTGCCAGTTTGGGGATAAATGAATCTGGAAGAAAATACAGACACACACAGATAGATACACACATGCCTCCTAGCGTGGCAAGAGTGTTTGTCCTCACTTCCTGCCAGCATTTCCCACAAGGAGAACGTGGCCTCGGGGAGAAGCCTGGCTGTCCCTTTAGGGCTGGAGGGACCCATCCATGGGTGGGTGGGTGGGAGGCTCCTCCGGACCTGGGTCCAGACCTTCCTCTCACCGCTGTTCCACAGAGAGGGGCTGCAGGCGTAGGCAGAGATCACTTCGAGCATTCAGAGCAGTTTGAGGAGCACTGCGCTGCCTCTAACACAATCTCCTAAGTCCAAAATACCAGCTCACCCTGTGCGTGGCAGCAGCACTCTGGTAGCCTCGACCTTTTCCTCACCGCCCCCCAAGCATTCGTCACAGAAGACCAGTGTCCACAGGAGTTTTAGAGACTTTATTTATGTATAAACAATTTAAACACTTTGCCATAAATTATCTTTGCCTGTCCCTAGTCTTTGCTTAGCAGCAAATTAAAATTAATATAAAAACTCGATGAACAATTCATACATGTATATTACAAAAAAGTTCCTGTACCAAAGTTCTTATTAGACTTTTTTTTTGTTTTGTTTTGTTTTTCTGATTTTTTTGTTTGTTTTTGTGGTTTTTTTTTTTTTTTAATTTTTTTTATTTTTCTCTCTTCGTGGTGACTGTCATGTGATTGTCTCAGTTTCTGGACCAAACAAACACACTAAGAATTTTAAATCTGAAACAGTGATTGTGCCTTGAGGCTCATGTATGTACAGGGTGATCAGAAGTGGTGCCCGTTAGCAAAAGAGTGTCACAACACCACACCTCTACCGCAACTGAGACCCACGAACTACGGAATCTATACAGACTACACCCTGTAACTGCGTATTACTGTCCACAATGGAATCTTCAAAGACAAAAGAGTATGAGATTTATCTGGAGTGATTATAGCCACCATTTTGAATTAAATTGTACACTCTGCGCTCAAATAAATTAGCTCGGGCCCCACTAAGTTGGGACCTGAGAGTTAAGTGCTGAACGGTATTATTTCGCTTTGATTTTTTGATATTAATTTCCTTTTTTGTGTATGTGTTTTTAGTTTTTTTTTAAATTTTCTTTAAAAATTATTTCCAGTGTTCACTCTTTCACTTTTATTCCCCCCCCCCCCCCGGTCGCTACACACAAATCACCCCCAAAGTCGTGTTTTAAATGCACCTGTATTTGTTTAAACGAAAATGTCTGTAGGATTTGTCCGACAAGCAGTCTGACTGGGTTTCCTCAGCTGGTCTGTGACGCCGGCCCTGCTGGATGTCTCTGTGTCGCTCACGTGTGGATGAGTGAGGTAATAGAGTATGAGGCCTTCTTGTCTTCACGTCTTTGTGTTTCGGTCAATGTATATGTTTTGCTTTTTGTTCTTTGTGTTCTTATTTTGTTGTGTTTTCCTGTTCTTTTGTTCCTTTTAGACATTTTGCGTCCTTTTCCTTTTTTTTTTTTTTTTTCCTGTTGTTGCTATTGTTTCTTTCTCTATGTAGACCCAGAACAAGTGGGCCATATTTTAGGGGAACTTGGAACATTTTGTGTGTGTGTGTGTGTGTGTTCATTCATTCGTTTGTTTTGTTTTCCTCAGGATTTTCAGCCAGGCTTTAGTCTACTTCAGGATGTGGGACTTCTTGCTTGGCCAGTAGCATTTGAACTCAAAAAATGTGAGCTTTCTTGCCACTTGGTATCCTAAAGCAGCCCGGCCTCAGTGCCCCTGTTAGGTCTTCATCTCCTTAGGAGAGGAGATAACAGTTACTCCCGCTGAGCCATCCAGACAAGGAATGGCAGCAGATTATTTTGTTACCTCTTTCCCATCTCATTCTGTCTTAAAAACTGGATGTTGCTGCTACTGTCTGCAAGCTCTGGGTATTGCTCCACGGGAAGCACGTAATATCCCTCATAACCTTGCACGCGTCCCGTGCTCAGAAGCTGCTGCTTCTCGCCCTCAGTCCACAGGCGGCTCCCCTCTCTCCCGTCCCTGGCTTTCTGCTGCTCCTTGGCCCAGGCGGTGCCCAGGGCCCTCTGCCTCGCCTGGTCCAGGACGCGGGCCTTCTCTTCATCCAGGGTGTCGGGGGTGAGGCCGTAGCGGATGCTGAGCAGCAGCGTGGAGCACTGGAACTCAATGTTGGTGAACCTTCGCGTCCTGCCGTTGACCAGCAGCGTGGGCTGCGACACGGTCACGTTCACCCCGCTCTCTAGCACCTTGCGGCCGATCGTGGTGCCCAGTGTGACCAGGTCGCCATCGGCTGAGCCGATCTTCACGAAGTAGTGGGTGTCCTTGCCCTCGATGCTGTAGTGCATCTTGTCCAGGTAGTAGGCATTGTTGAGCACGGAAGCCACCTTGCGGCTGTCCTCGCTGGCGATGCTGGACACGCCGGTGCTCACCTGCCCTTCTTTGATGGCGAACATGATGCCTTTGCCGATGATGGGTGTGGTGGTGGCAAACCAGTGGCCTGCTTTCTCTCGGATGTTGGCGTGGAGCTTTTTGGAGATGACCTGCCCTTCCAGAGCCATGAAGGCCTGATTATGCCTCTCTGTTGTCTGCTGGACGCCTGTAATGAGCTGTGGGCAGAAGGAAACACAGAAGGCTGAGATGATGGTCTGGACAGCTCTTTGCATAGGCCGAGAAGCTCATTGAAAAAGGGTCAGTAAGGGAAATTCTTGGACTCCCTGCAAGAACTAGTCTTCCATCTGTAATGATACGAGTTCATATAGTCCTATCTTTTGAAGCTAGCCCAGGCTGGCTGGTTCCCAGTGCTCTGGTGGTGTGGCCTGTCCGCCTTGTAACTGTGACCAACTAAAAAGATGGTGCAGAGGTTCGCCGCCTTGCTGACATCTGTACCCAGGCCTATCCACTTGCCATGTCTCTCTGTTATTGGAGAAGAGAGAGTCGCTCTGCTCTCAGATGGTTTGGCAGGTGCCTTGCACACTTCAGACCCAGGAATATCCTGACCTGAAGGGCAGGGGGTTCTTTTGAGAAGCTATGAGCCCTGCTGCTGTGACCTAGATTGTTTTCAAGGCCAGTGCCCTGGGTGTTCATTAACTTCCTTGGGTTAAGGCCTTGCTATGCAAAGCACAGCTAGCAGCAGGGGATTTGTGGGGACTTGCCTTGTTAGAAAAGCAGAATCTCAGGCCTCACTCTAGACCTACTGAGTCCGAAGCTGCGTCTTAACAGGACACACCCTGCGTGGTTTGTTTGCTATTGTTTGAGAAGCACTGGACTAAGAGGTTCTGGCATCCTGGGCCAGAGGGAGTATCCCCGGGCTTTATTCATTTGCTTTGGATCTTCGTCCTGGTTCTGCAGAGGGACGAAATCGCCATTATCTCCTTGGCCTTGAGCTCTCTACTCACAAATTACAACTCATCTCAATTGGTGGTTGGGGGACAGACTGGGATAATGGAAGAGGCTGTGTTCGGGAGGTAACGGCACTTAGATAAATGAGAGAAATGATGGCTATTCATCCACTGAGTGGTCCCCACAGGGCAGAACTGAGAGAACGTTGTTCTCAATTACCCACCAGCTCCTCCTCATCTCTCTCGAGTTACACAGTGTGGATGATTATTCAGAGCATCTGAGACCTTTCAGACGTTTACATGGCCGGGTGTTGTCCTGTAACAGGAGTTATCTGAACACTGATGCCCACGCCTCCCATCTGACTGGGCTGGAGGTCTCAGCAGCACCCAAATGGAAAGTGACCACTTCTTGGTCATCGCTGAAAGACCCGAGCACAACTTATGTTCTGAAAACTTAATCTGTATACATTTGGGCCATAAAGCGCTGAGGTTTTATGTCAGGCATAAAAATGTTCTTTAATGGGATAGAAACTGCAAACCACAGTTATATGACATCCCATAAAAGCCAAAAGGGTTATGATCTTATAGGCAGTGCAGATGGTGGGTTGCTGCTAGATTTCTCTGTGCTGTTGTTAATCAAGGAGAGACTCAAGGCTATATACTGAACAGATAATGATACCGCAATTAAGGTAATAATTGAGGTTGGGCAGAAGTATGTGCTGTGCCAGACAGGTGACAGCACTGACATTCGCTTTCCTGGGAAGTCACAATGTTTCATGCACCTTTTTATACCCAGCTCCGATGTTCGCCTCCTCTACGGACATGCCCTTAGCTCCCGTGCAGTTCTGTTTGCAAAAGGGAATGAGGACAATCATTCAGATTCTTGGCAGTGACCTCCGCTTACCTGTCCATTCTCACTGGCTTGACTCTCTGACAATTCATAGGGAGGAGGCACGAAATACATTTTGGCTCTTGGGAAGCCAGGAATTATGTTGCTAAGCTGAAATCCAAACATCACAAGCCAGCTTTTCACATCTATGGTGGAAACAAAAATAAAGATTTCTGAATCATGATGGATGGAAAGCAGTTGAGGATCTTAGAGAACAAAACAAAATGCATGGTTGGGTGTGGAGTCCAGCAAGGGAGAAAGGTGAGAGCTTGTGAGAGTCTCCTGGTCCAGACCCGGAGCCACTTTACGTGGATCCTGGGAAGGATGTTCTTCCAACCTTGGTCACTTGAGTTACCATGGGGTGACTGAGGGGGCCAGTGCTGGAGTAAGATCTAGTTTCGACTTCTCTTACTGTGTGACCTTGAGTAAGTTCCTGCCTCTCTCTAAGCTTGGGGTTCCTCAGACGTGAATTGGGATGATAGCTGTACCAATGTTGTTGGGTTGTTGTGAAAGTGGAGGAGAAATCCTTGTCACCAGGCCTGGCACATAGATTGCTCAGTAGATAGGAATGCCTTCATTTGGGGCATCCGTCATAGGCCAGTTGATGTGTTTGGAAGCTAGAGGTACAATGATCAACTAGAGGGTAAGGGGTGATTATGAACACTGTGCAGACATTGGCAGGGGTGGGGGACTGCACTGCAGCTGGCTCATTATGGAGAGGGGGTTCCAAAAGTATGTGGAAGGCACAAATTCTTTTGGCATCTGAGACCCTTTTCATAGATGCCCACTCTTCAAAGAGAGGCTAGAGAGTGCTCTTGTATGTTTAGAGTAAGACTTCCTTTCCCCTGCCAGGGTCATGGCTGAGTCCCTTGCTTTGGGAATTATACCCCTTTCCCCACAGGTCCTGCTCTCAGAGTAAGACTGCAGCTCCCAGGCTGCCTTGCCTCCTTCCACAGTAATCAGTAGAGAGCCCTGGACATCCATCCCTTGCAGCACTCACAGCCCCACCCATGTCATCTGCCCACAGTCCAGCACGAATCCCCTTTTTAGGCTCCTTATCCCTGTTTATAATGGGCACCCAAACATCGTGTCCTGAATCTCCCCACCTCTTTTCCTACCATTGCTGGGCCTGGAGATACACGTGCTACTTGTTGCAGTCATTACTGATTCCCAGGCCACTCACCTGCATTTCTTGGTGCTTTTCTGCTTCACTGTCCTTCTCGCCACCTCTCTCCCTAAATTCATTCATAGTGATTCCATTATACAAGCACTTGACTCTTCTAATGTCCTGGCCTCTTCGTTCCTTTGATGACCAGCCCCAACCCTTGTTCATCCTCTGAACCCTATCATCACCAGTAATTCTGATCCCCCATTATCTTAATTTCTTACACATCAGACTCTGACCACCATGTGAACTCTTTGTAATTTACTCCTTTTTGTAACCTGACACCCATGCTCCTTGATCCTTTCCCTTCCTCCCTAGGATCTTCAATCCATCCTAAACTTCTTGTTCCTATTTGTCAACATCCCGGTCTCTTTTCTTATCTAGCACACGTCCATGGCCAATCATGAGACTCATTCCTTATATATATTCTTAGTTCCTGTGTCCCTTTCTTGCTTTAGCACACTTGCTTGGCAAAATCACAATTTTGGTTAAATCCACGCGTTCGCCTATTTCTTATTTGTACCTGTGCAGCTGAATGTGGCTGGAGAAACAAATGTAACTACACTGACTGGTGTCACTTTAAATTCCTGACCGTGAACCCCAGTTGTGCTTTCCTGCTGCCTGACTTTACTCCCTTCCTTCATCGGTCATTCTCCTATTCTGCTGGGGATGTTACGTCTTCTCCTCTCTGCTAAAACCATCAACATCTGCTTTCCCTTCTCACTAGAGCAGATGACCTTGTTTTCTTTTTGGAAAACACCCAGGGCAGCCAGAGGGGAATTCCCCTAAACTCTCATCATCACATTTACTGGCCTTCCAGCATCTGTATCCATATTTCCTGCCGCCTTCTTGTTACTCTAGTGGAGCTGCTGAAGTCAGCCCTCCCTGTGTGCAGTAGGTAGCGTCTTCTGTTGTGCCCGCAAGGACATCACTCCAGCAACTCTCTCTCTCCTCATGGCATCGCATTACTCCTCTTTTCAATGGATCAACCATGTCAGCATTTGACATGCTACCAAATGCCCACTTTAAAAGAAATTCCTTTCTTGTCCCTTCTTCTCCCGTTTGCTACCATCCATTTCTCTCACCCTCCTTGACAAAAACGTCTCAGGATGAAAACAGTTCTCTGTACTACTTGTCTCCCATTCTCCTTTGAATCAGGCTTTGTCTCTAACTACTCCACTGAAGCAACTCTTGTCAAGGTTGTGAATGACCACCATGTTGCTAAGCCTGACATTAATATGGGTCCTCATCTTTTTTTGACTTATCAGAAGCACTTGACAAAAGCTCCTGCCTTTATTTTTTTCTTGGCTCTCTGGACAATATAGTTCACTTGTTAGTCCTCCTCCTACCTTAGTGGCCATTCCTTATCCTATTTTGGTTCCCCCTCATCTGCCTCCTGATCTCTTCAATGCTGGAATGCCCGTGACTCAGTCTGTGAACCTCTCTACTCTCTATGTACTCTCACAAACATGGGGCTCTGACCCACCCTTAGGACCAGTATGTACCATCAACATACTGTTGCTGACTCCAAAATTTATTTCTCCATCCTGGACCTCTCTGTGAATTCCAAACTACTATATTGTATTTCAAACTTTTGTCCAAAACTGGACTCCTGATCTTCCTCCCCAAACCTGCCCCATCCATAGACTTTTCCATCCCACATAATGGCCACTCCATCCTTTCAGCCACCATCCTTGTTCCCTTTCTTTTCCTTACTCCCCATATCTAGATCCATTGGCAAATGCTTTATTTTTTTTAATTAAGGTAAAATTCACATAATATAAAATTCATCATTTGAACCATTTTAAAGTGCACAATTCAGTGGCTTCTAGTACATTTACAATGTTGTACAACCATCATTGCTATTTAATTCCAGAACATTTTCATCACCCCAAAAGAGGCCTCACACCTACTGGCAGTCATTCTGCATTCTCCTTTCTCAGTCCCTGATAACCTCTAAACTGCTTTCCATCTCTATGGGTTTGCCTATTCTGGACATTTCTTATAAATGCAGTCATACAATTGTGGCCTTCTGTGTCTGGTCTCTTTCACTTAGCATAATGTATTCAAGGCTCATCCATATTGTAGCACATAGCAATAGAGTTCATTTCTTTTCATGGCCAAATAGTATTCCATTGTTTGGGTATACCACATTTTGTTAAACCATTCATCAGTTAATGGGTGTCTGGGTTGTATATATGTATGTATGTTTTTATTTACTATTATGAATAATGCTTCTATGAATATTTGTGTACAGATTTTTGTTTGAAAACCTGTTTTCAGTTCTCTTGCTTATATACATACCTAGCTGTGAAATTGCTGGGTCATATGGTTCAATCCTTTACTATTACTTTTAAGATTGATCCCAAATTTGTGTCCACTTGTCATCACTTTGCCATCTCGATCCTGGCCCATCGTCCCTCACCTGGAATTCTATCTGGCTCCCTGTTTCCACCTTTCTGCCCCACATACCTTATCAGGCTAGCAGCCAGAATGAGTTTTTAAACCTGGAGAAGACCATGTCATTCCTCTGCTCAGAACACCTGGGGAACCCCCATTTTTCTCAGTGAAGAAGCCAGAGTCTTCCGACTGGTCCATAAGGACACTCGCCTGTTACTGTCTGACCTCATGTTCTCTTGCCCTCTCCCTTGCTCCCACAGCTCCAGCTTTGAGGCTATTTCTTGAACATGCCAGGCACACACTCATCTTGGGCCTTTGCACTGACAAGCACCTCTGCCCAGAGTGTACTTCCCTAAAAGTATTTTTTGGCTCTCTCGCCTCTTTCAAGTCTTGTTCCGATACTGCCTCTTGGATAAGGCAAACCCAACCACCACATTTAAAACCCGCTCCTCCTCTCCACCTCCAGCAATCCCAAGTCCCCTTATTTTTTTCATCCTCCAGCCCCTGCCCCCAAATCAATCCCATTCTAACATGCTGTATCATTTGTGTGTTTATTGTTTACTGTCTGCCTCCCTCACTGAGAATGTGAGTTTCATTAGGGAAGGGAGTTAAAATTTTTGTTTTATCCGCTGCTGTTCTCCCAGATCCTCTGATAATGCCTGGCATGAAATAGGTGCCAGACAGTATACATGGAACGAGTGAATGAAAGAACACCGAATATATGTGGCGAAAGCCACTCTGAGTAGTGTAACAAGAGGAACTAATGGTGCCTGAGAGAAGGCTTCTGAAGGGGTTAAGCAAGGTATTACCACCTCCTGCACTGGGACTGTTGGGAGGAGTTTAATGTTGACTTTGCTTCTAAACACGGAGGCATAAAAGAACCTTCTGATGGGAGGGAATCTGGGATCCACAGTCCATCCATCGCCGTTGGCCACAGACCGGTTCCTTGAATAACTTGGACTATGACTAATATGTGTAGTTACCATGGAAGGGTCATTTAAGAATACAGGTTTACAACTGCCTTGTGTCTGCCTCTAGCAGGCAGCAGCATGGCTCTAGTCCAGCGATGGTCACATATTTACAGAGCACCTGTTCTGTGCAAGATGGGTGCTGGCTGCTGTAGAGGGGTGCATCTCCCAACTGTGGACATTCACGGTCACTCATCTCGATTGATTTGCCATCTCCAGGTGTCTCCTGTAGTAGTATTGACTTACTGATTAAAAAAGATAAATTTGCCTGTTTCACTTAAGTCCATTTTTAAAAAAGAAACTTCATGTTACTACCATAAATGGGAGAGCAGACTCCCCTGATGCAAACAGAAAACAACTGTAAAATTAAAAACAAAGAAAACATAGCAATGTGATTAAATTAGAGCATGATTTTTGTTACCTGCTACTGAGGAGTCTCAGACCTACTCTCTTTGTTAAAAGGGGAGACTGGAAGTGTTAATGGGTTGTGAAGTATATACCAGCATTAGGTGGAGACTTTCTCCTTGACTGAGTTGGAAGAATAAAAAGAGCACTGAAGAGGCAAACTTTCCCCATTTGTGTTTCCATGTTATCTAATACCTTATCTGTAGACTATTTCCAATCATCCCATCTTTCATCAGGGATATGTAGGATATGTGTGGAATCCCAAGAAAGGCAAGAGAGGTCTTGCCCCCCAAGACTCTCCCCATCCTGATCTTTTCATTGCTGGGATTCCTCCCTAGTACTTGGGAGGTGATGCTGAGAACCTCCTGCTTTGAGACTGGACATTTTAATGGCCGCTTCCAGGAAGGCCAATAGCGCATGTCATCTACCTTCTTTTCTTTTCCTTAAAGTTTCTAACATGGCTTAGTTTCTGAGTCTAAACCTATCCTGAAATGTTTATTCAAGTAGCTCATCTCTTCCACTCTGCAGAAAACACTTCTGGCACCACACAAATACCCTTCTTCCTTTTTGAGATAATTAGTGTTATCTAGTGACAGGCTCCCTACATAGTCTGTAGAGAGGGAGCCTTTGGGGCAGGAGCTGATGAGGGGGCCCCTCCTAATGGCTCATTACTATTCGACTCTCATGTTCTTCAGGGCATGTGATGACTTTGTGGCCACCAAGCATACCCTCCGTCTCCAGAAACGCCGTCAGAAAAGTATCTTAGGTGTTAAGTGTAGATCTAAGACGAGGGTTAATGTGAGAAGGAGGTTGTGACTTCCTCCTCACTCAGGGAAATTCAACTCCATAAGATCCCACTATGCTCACATGTGCCTGGAGTTTGTAAGCCCCAAAGACCTGCCAGGGAGCAGGGGTGGGGAGAAAACACAAGTCATTGAGGATGATTTCTAGGACGATTGCTTAACTCACATTTGTCTGGGGTGTCAGGTTTGCCAAAGCAGTGCCACTTGGGCCAGAATTTGGATCAATTTCAGGGTGGATCTGGAGGGGGGTCTCCAGATGTGTTGCTTCCTCAGAAAACAACACAGAGGTGGTATCTCCACTCTTCATCTATGAACTCCTCATGTCCAAGTCCATGGCTGCTTATAAGTAACAAATGCGTCCCTACCATTCATTAGCCTTAGCACTGCGCTAGGCACCTTACGCAGCAGGCCTCATTTACTTTTTATAGCCCCATGGCGTGAACGTTATGATTACCACCATTTTGGCGGGGAAGAAATGAAGCCTCAGAAAGTTTGAGCTATCATCCAAGTGACACAGCAAGTGATTAGCAATGCCAACACTTGGGTCTTGAGATGGACTCAGGTTCTAACATCAGGATGAACGGGCTTGAATTACAGGCCAGGCTTGGGGGCGGGAATGGGTCTCCCATTTGTCGGGGACTGAGGAGTTTCCTGCCATGCCAGAACTGGAAAAGACTGAGGCCCTGGAGGTTGTCGGGGAGGGAGTCTGTCTCCCAGTCTGTTTTCTACATCCTTTGCTCTAATATCTGGTTATCACAGATGTATCAATTGTCAATATATCACCTTAAAAAATACCGGTTGGGAATGTTTCTAGCAGCAATGTCCACAATAGCCAAACTATGGAAAGAACCTAGATGTCCATCAACAGATGAATGGATAAAGAAGATGTGGTGTATATATACAGTGGAATACTATGCAGCCATCAAAAGAAATGAAATCTTGCCATTTGCGATGACGTGGATGGAACTAGAGGGTATTATGCTTAGCGAAATAAGTCAATCAGAGAAAGACAACTATCATATGATCTCCCTGATATGAGGAAGTGGAGATGCAACGTGGGGGGTTTGGGGGGGTAGGAAAAGAATAAATGAAACAAGATGGGATCAGGAGGGAGACAAACCATAAAAGATTCTTACTGTCACAAAACAAATTGAGGGTGGCCAGGGGGAGGGGGGTAGGGAGAGGGTGGTAGGGTTATGGACATCGGGGAGAGTATGTGCTATGGTGAGTGCTGTCAAGTGTGTAAACCTGGCGATTCACAGACCTGTACCCCTGGGGCTAATAATACATTATATGTTTATAAAAAAAAAAATACCGATTGGGCAGGATGCTGCTGTGGAGGCTGTGAGTGGGAAAGGAAGCCCTTTTGGCCCTCCTTCACCCTGTCCTGGTGGCTACAGCTCTGCTCTAACCCCGGGGGGCCTCTGAGCTCACGGGGACTCTATGCTGTTTTCCTTTGTGCTTGCAGTCTCAGGAGGAAGCAGAACATCCTCCAGCCTCAGCAGCTGCCTCCTGCATTCAGAAAGCTCTGTTTCCAAAACATCAATGATTTTTTTTTGAGCACCAGCGAGAGAATGTTCTGTTCTCTGCGTTCCTCCTGACTACATCTTAATTACTTCTTCTGCTTAAATTGTGAGCGGCAAGTTCAACCACTCTGCTCGTCTCCTAAGTGGCAAATTAAGACTAATTTAGACGGGGTTTACAGATTAGCCAACATTCAAACAGTAGAGAATGATTTGGTGTTCTCTGCTAGGATCCTCTCTCCAGGGGGCAGCTCATCTTGAACGGGCAGCAGGTGTGGGCTTGTGCCTGGTCTGACACTCTGCTCTGCCTGGGCCCTCCTTTCCCCAGCTTTGACTGCTCACATCAGCTCTGTGCACGTGCTTCTCTAACACTACCTTTTATTTTAGATGCTTTTGAATGGTTTCTGGATTCAATTTTGTTGGACTTAGTTCAACTTGATTTGATTCCCATTTATTGAGTCTCTGTGAGGCTCTGAATGAGGAAAGTCATATTGCTATTCAGAAAATTCTGATAATTTCTTTTTTCCTTTGCAGGAGAACTAGGGAACTCATTGAGGGGATTTGTGAGTTTGACTGCTCTGTGAATGATTTTGTTTGGACCTTGGCAGATCTAGCGTCCATTCTGAGGGCTTTCTTTTTATTTGACTCTGGCTGACTCATCCCTAAGTTATCTAATGCCAAGCTGTGTTTTGGGAAGCACATTCTGGAGGGGGAGGGAATTCTTCTCCCAAGGCTAAGATAGGCATAGTCTGCCTTCCCATTCACACTGTTTCCTACATCTAGAACACTCTTCCTCTCCCTTTCCCACTTCATATAGGTCTCTGCTCAAAAGCCACCTCTTCAGAAAGTCCTCTGTGAGCACCCTAAATATGGGAGATGCTTCCCATCATGATCTGTCTAACCCCAATCCCATTTTATCTACATAGCACATATTGTTACCTGAAACTATTTATGTACCTATGTGTGTGTATGTTTTCCTGAGAGGTCCTTTAATTTGAAAGTGCAGTCACCTGGAAGATAACAGTCATGCTAAGCCATGGGAATGAGAGACCATGGCAGAGTACCATGGGCAGGGCCTCTTGATAAGGTATGGTGGGGAGAACAGGAGGGAACTAGCTTGGTCATAGCTCCTGGGCTCAAAAGGTTCCAGCTGCTATGGTTGTAGGGGGATGCTGGGTTCAACTTCAAAGGGTCTGGAATGTAAGGATGAGATACAGCTTGGCCATAAGTTGATCTTTAAGGTCATCCTTCTGTAGCCTGGGACATTGAGGGCAGCCCTGTGCTTGGCTAGCTGCTGCTTCCTTTCTTGAGGGTGTACAAGTGAGTTCTGGACACCTGAGCGTAGGGTCCCTTTGAGTTTGATGTTTCCTTGGCTCATGACCAAGAGCTGTGAAGTTCTTGGACCCTGGGGGGGGGGGGCTTGGAGTTGGGGTCCCTACTGTTGCTCCTCAACAATGCATGGACAGACAGGGTGACTCAGGCTTCCTTGCTGAAAGTTGGTCTCTCTATCCATCCATCCATCCATCCATCCATCCATCCATCCATCCATCCTGATTTCCTTATTTCCCTGAGGATAAGGACTTTATCTTGCTGTCCACTGCATCTCTCATACCCAGTATATGTTAGATATTATGAAAATACTTGTCAAATAGGTGAATGGATGGATAGATGGATGGAGATATATGGATGGTATAAGAGATAGGGACCCTTATTTTACCAATTTCTCATTTATCATGAGGCAGGAGATTATTTGCCCTCCTTAGCCCCTCAATCCATACCCTTCTCCAAGCTTCCCATGTCCTTTTGACTCATAGTCTTTCTTTAGCCTTGAGCTCATTTCTGCCAACCAAGATTCCCTTCAATCTTCAGGCCCAGTTTGACATGGGACACTTCTGTACTATGTCACAATTTCCAAACTTAAAGTCATCCACACACACACATGCACATGCACACACACATACACAGCCCCCTTTGAGAGAAGGTGTCTGTCTTATTCATCATTTCTATCCCAGAATCTAGCCTAATGTCACTCTATAAATGCTTACTGAATAAATAACTGAACAGACACCTATATGGTAGCACAAACCTAATCCGGCTCTGTACTATTATTGGCTCTTTGTATCTTGCCAGCCTGCTTGTGAGGTAGGGAACTGGGTCTTAGTCATGTCATACCTATATTAACTCAATGCTTCATTTGTAATGATAATGGTAATAGCATGAGCAGATACTCTTTTGTAAGCACCCACTGTCTAAGTGCTAGGCACTAAGCTTTACCTACGTAAGTTCATTTACTTCTCACAATCTCTCTGTGGGTTGGTTTTATTAGTACCTTTTCACAGAGAAGGAAGCTACAGCTCAGAGAGATTAGAAGCCTAGCCCAAAGTCTTTTGGCTTATAAGTACGAGAGAGAATCTGACATCAGAGTCCCATTATTTCCCCCTTCATGAGGCTGCTTTCCTCTCTTGGGGTAGGGAGGGCTCTTATAAAAGTTATTTCAACTAAATGGGCTTGGAAATGGCTAGGACATCTTCAAGCAGATCTGAAGACTGCTCTGTACTGCTGTTATCCGACTGTTCTAGAGCCTGTACAGACCAGTGTTTATAGGTCTCCAGGATTGCCCTATCATCAGAAGTAAGACCTTCTTTTGAAGTTCCCAACAGTCTGGCAGGACAACCACCCCCCAGGGAGTCGCTGACCAACTGAGATGGTAGAGTCCTCACCTGTCACGTAGTTCTTCAAATCCAGCTCATTGCTGAGAGGATTGTTGCTCTTGAACATATACAGGTTAAAGGGGGCTGGCTCCTTGCCCACATTTTTCCACATGGTATAGTCTGGAGAGGTCCATCGTCCTGCTAGCACATCATAATCACGCTGAGTGAAGTGGACCAGCTTGGTCAGGGGATCATAGAGTCCGCCATGGAAGCCAATGACCATCTGGAAGTCAGGGTTGGAGTCATAATAAATCTCCCCATAGGCCGTATACTGCAGTTGTTTGATCATGAGACCGTTGATGCTGAACACAGCCAGAGGAGTGCCTGTGTTATCTGAGGCAACATAGTACTCCTCCCCACTGCTGCTCTCCATGGCAAAGAGGTGACCTTGGAGGTCATAGTAGAGTGAGGTTATCTCTGAGTTGGAATGATTATAGACATGGGTGATGCGGGTCGGGTTGTGGAGGTCAGAGTAGAAATATTGCAGGTGATGGCCCAGGTTGGTCTTGTAGGAAGCCCGCCGCCCCACACCGTCATAGCGGTACTGGACACTCCACCCACTGGCCTTGTTGTAGGCTCTTGTTAGGAGGCCCTTGGAGTTATACTCAAAGATGTCAGCCCCTCGCTGGCACAGATAGCCATCATCATCAATTTTGTACTGCACATCACCAAGTCTGGTTATCCGATCCCGGAGATCATAGCGCAAGGGCATAAGGCGTATACTATTTCCTGGGTTCAGTAAGTGGAGGTTCCCATTGAGGTCATAGCTGTAGCGCCAGGTTGGGCGGTCATTGACTGCTACACTCTGGAGCTGCCCATCTCCATCATAGTCATAGGTGTATTTAGTGGTATTAGCATAAGGCCCCAGTTTCAGCTCCCTCTTAATTACCCTTCCCATACTGTCATATTGCACTGTCATCCAGTACATGAGGGACCGAAACATCTCATACTGGACTTCCTTGATCCGCCCGTGGGTGTCAAAGTGTTTGCTGAGGGTCATTACAGCGGTGGTGATGATCTGGTTAATATCATAATAGATGACTCCGAACTTGCCAAAGTGTTCCACCTTGCCAGAGATCTCATCATAACGGTAGAGGTCCACAGGAAGGGGAGTCTCACTTATGACGGGCTTGATGCTTGCAATCCGGAAGCTGTTGTCATGATAGGTGTAGTCAAACCTGGCATTGACCATGCCTTCCTCAGAGAACCTGTAGATCTGCTTGTCCACAAGTGGGCCTATCTTTCGGTACCTGATTGTGCAGGAGAAACCCCCACTTTGGAGACTGACCATTTTTAAAACGCCGGTGGTCTCATCATATCCAAAAGTGACAGCAGTACTGTCATAGACAATCTCTGATAACTTGGAGAGTTTCCCATACTTGTAGAATACCTGGCGCCCGGTGCCTAAAAAGGACGTCTTGAGGATGCGGCCATCATCACTGTAGTCAAAAATGACTGATGCGTTGCTTTCAGGGGGATTATAAATGTTGCGGATGTAGCCAATGGAGGTATGGGTGGACATGCTATGCCGGGCAACACTGGGCATGGTGACGGCGTGGAGACGGTCGGAGGAGTCATACTCAAATATGTACTGACGCTGACTCTGAAGCAGGAGGACCATAGACTGGAGGAAGGAAAGGGGGAAGAAATGCAAGAGTCAGTTCTTTAAGACCAAGTGCTCAAATAGACAGAATCTATTCCTTTTCCCAAAATGGCAATTCAAAAATCATGAAGGATGGGGAAGTTTAGACCAGAGATTATGAGTAGACTGATTTCACTGGGCAAGCTAATTCTGATGGATTATGGTGGCTACTTGGACCAGTGCTTCCCGAACTTTACTGTGCATGTGAAACACCCAGGGATCTTGTTAAAAGGCAGATTCTGATTTAGTAGTTTGGTGGGAGGATGAGGGATGAAGAGGGAGGTGGCCCGAGAATCTGCTTTTGTAGCAAGCTTCTGGTTGGTCCTGATGTTGCTTGGACCATACTTTGAGTAGAGAGGTCTTGAAGGACTGAGGTGAGAGGCACTGAGTTTGCCTCTCAGGCTTGATAACCAGAAATCCTAAGATTGTTTAGAAATGACTGCCACTGGCCCAGTACGGGACATCCATACTATGTTTTGGCCACCCCTGATTACATCTTAAGAGAAAACGTATCTTCCATTTATAAACTACTGAAAAGATGAATCCAGAATCATCAATTTTGGAGGCCAAAAATGGTCTCAAACTGAGGCAATTGGGAAATTTTTGCCTCCCCTGGTCAACCATTCTAGTATTTTATGGCATAATGAGAACAGGATTCAGGGATGACCAAAGGGACATCAGCCCCACTCTTACGGAGGAGGTCACTACTCTGTCTGCAAGTGACTGTTGTAATGGAGAGGAAAGAAAGGAAGAACTGGAGCTGGAACCTGTGTCGAGGGGCATATAGGGGAGAGGCCCAAGCTGAGCAAATACCCGTTTAATGACTTAGAGGACCAGGACAGCCTTCAAAAGTCTTGACTTGTGCCCCAAAGGGACCTCTGTTCGCTGCTGCTCTAACCTGACCCTTTCTGACCTGAATTTGGCACTTTCAGACACAGGGAATTATGTAGAAGGAATCCATTGGCCACTTCGGCCAACAGGCCAAGTAGGAGGATGTTGGTTTGTGTGCTTGAGTTTTAGGCAAAATTCCCTACCTGGATAACTTAATTTCAGGCAAGGCAGAAACGAATCATTGCATTTCTAATACATAAATAATGATTAGTCGTGATGCCAGTGGGATGATTCTGTCTGCTGTCTGCTTCAACAGCACTTTTTCTTTCTTTCTTTCTTTCTTTCTTTTTTTTGAATAAAATCAGACAATCCATTCTTTTTGTCATTACCAAGTGTCTAACACTTTTTTCCCTTCCTTTTAATGGTAATAGAGATGAGCTATGAAACTTTCCTCCCTCCCAGTGAGGATGGGAGCATGAAGGGAGACCTTGTAGTCAGAGGAAAGATGTTAAATGTCTTGTGGCAGAGCATATCAGGTCAGCTCAAAAAGAGTGGTGTGAATAAGGGAAAGCCCCAGCTGAGTGAGGACAGCACATTCCCCTACCTTGTCAAGGTAGGAGTAGCTCCACACTTTTCCATCAGCAAACATGCGGGACACAATTCGGCCTTGCTTGTCGATGTCTGTCCTCTCACTCATGGCCCCACGCTGAAGGCCAGCCAGGCGCCCGTTGAAGAAGTATGAGACGTTGACTGCTGCCAGCCCACTGCTAGGGAGCCAGAGGAAAGGGCGGCCCACCTGGTCATAAATAATCCTCAGGGTGAATTTCCGGTGATCATCATAGATCTTTTCTGTCCGAATATTCCGGTCATAGTCAATGGACAAGAGATTTCTTCCATGGACCTAGGAAAACACAAGGGCTTGGTTTGAGAGCTATCATCTGGGTATGTTAGCTTCTATGGAGGATATGGCTGACATGGCCAGGGAATAAGTGTTCACTGGAGGAAGAACTAACCTTGAAGTTATTTCGAGTAGTGTTTTCTAAACTTCTTGAAAGGGGTAATATTTGTAAGGTGCGCTAAGATGCAGAAACGAGGCTGCTTATGGTCAGAGATGACTAATCTGGGCATGGCTGCAGTGAGCAGTTACATAGACCATGCACCGCCCAATTATAAGGAGTGTCATCTGGTCATAGAAAGTATGAACAGTGAAAATCGTGCACTGTACAAATTAGCCATATACAGTAGCCCTGGACACTGGGGTTCTGAATGCCCTGCTCAGCCTCCTTGGAGGGCAAAATAATTTGTGTATCTGAACACTTTCAACCCCTCTCTGGCACATCACTGGCTGAGTAGCTAATGATCTTTAAGAGTAGGTGCCAAGATTTTTTTAAGGTATCCAGGAGGGTGGGGACGATGACTTAGAAATCTGTATTTTGCAAAGATCTGGGAATAGGAAAGCTTATTGCTATGTGAACTTCTTCACTTCTGTCTAGAGAAAAATTTTGCCACTGTCAAGGATGCAAGACATCAGTGGGGAGGCCTCAACAACGCTAGGGAATTCCAACAAAGGAACTGATTTACTCAGATTTGAAAGAAATAGTGGAACACATCTAGACATAATTTAATATTTATTTAGAAGCTGATCTGATCAGAGAAGAGAGCCTGTCCCAGAAGGCAGAGCTGGGTGACTAGACTCTGGTTAGGGGCAAAGGAGAGGGACTCTTGAGATTTGGCTAGTCCTGAGTGGATAGCTGGAAGTGAATAAAATGAGGCCAACCGAGCCTGGGCTCTTTCGGGATAATAGACTGCAAATCCAGATGTCCCTGGGGTGACCACTGAAGGCAAGGAAAGATGTAAACAGGCAGAAGGAAGAGAAGTGAGAGACATGTGGTATCTCCTTACCTTATCTAATAATTCAATAGCATCTAATAATAACAGTGATGATGGTGATGTTGATGGTGGTGATAACAACTTTAACACATGTTGGGGTTAGTGTACATAGGCATTGTGTTAGGCAGTTTGCATCTCTGTCTGAGCTGGAGTTTGACAAATAAGGAAACTGAATCCAAAGCAGAGAGGTTATGTACTTGCCCAAGGTCACATAACAATGAATTGGTGGGGTTGGTCTGGAACTGAGGTCTTCCCACTTGAACCAGGTAACCACTTAGACATTTAACCAGCTTTACTGATTCCTGCATTATATATGCATTGAGTGCCCTGACTTGTTAAATGACGAAGGAACTGTGAAGCATTGCCCCAGCCCCTGGGGGCTCCATATTATAGCTTGATGGGGAGATATGGAATAATTCTGACACCACAGACATCTGTATTCTAGGGAGCAGCATTGTACCCAGGTAAAGAACTACATTTCACAGCTTTCGCCAGAGACAGAGGTGGCTAAGTGCTGGCTGTCAGCTGGGTCTCCTGGGAACCTTAAAGGAAACTGACTGCGCTGAGAAATAGGCACCCATTGGATCTTTCACTTTCCTCCTTTTCCTGGGTAGAAGGTGGCTGTGATCCTGGAGCTCCAGCATTCACCTTGTAAATATGCGGTGACTTTGAGGATGGAAGCCTCAAAGATGATGGCTCATCCAGAGAAAGTCTAGATCCTTGTTGACCTACATGTCTTCTAATGGTCATCCATACTAGCCATGAATGGCTTCCCTCTAGACTCCTTTTAGGTCATAACAAATAATAAAGCCACATCTTATTGAAGCCATTGTTATTTTTAATCTCTGGTATTAGCAGTTGACACTAATCTAAACTGCTATAAGGCCCTCATGTGTTGACAGGTACTGTGCTAGGTACTCTACATGCCTTATCCCAGTTTAATTCTCACAACACAGGCAGAAATTATTTTATATATGGGCAGTTGAGCTAAGAGGGGGTCACAAATCTAGACAAGTGGTGGAGGCTGGATTTGAATCCAGGACTACTTGATTCCTCAAAATATTGCTATTTCCATGGAGTCATCTCAGAGAGAGGGGGATAAATCACTCGAGAGAGAACATTTCAGAAAGAAAAAGCATCAAAAGATGGAGATAGGATAAAGGTGGTGGGTTCTTGGGATTACAGGGGACCCAACTCCAAATGGAAGATTCATGTACTCAAACAGGCAGCCAGGGGAAGAACAGTCAAGAAGGCAAAGGGGGAGTGGTAGGATTTTTAAAAAACAGGTCCAGGGATACCTCAGTGGCTTAGTCGGTTAAGCCTCTGCCTTTGGCTCAGGTCATGATCCCAGGGTCCTGGGACTGAGTCCTGCATCAGGCTCCTTGCTCAGCAGGAAGCCTGCTTCTCCCACTGCCTGCTGCTCCCCCTGCTTGTGCGCGCACTCTCTCTCTCTCTGACAAATGAATAAATAAAATCTTAAAAAAAAAAAAACAAAACCAAACAGGTCCAAAAGTTAATGCTGTCAGAATTATTGAGGATCTTGAGCCCAGATTAGAGTCACCATATTTAAAGCAAACCATAAGCTGGGGTCAGAATGATCACTTCCTCTGGAAATAGAAGTTTGGCCATGTTGGGTTGCTTCATTTGGGACAAATGCAGAAGGCCATCAAGACTCTTAATCCTGTGAGTCTGAAAATTTCAGTTCAGGCCTTGCCAACATTTTATTAGGCAGAATGAATAATGTGGCAACAATGAAGAAGGATTTTCAGGGTTTCTTGAGCAGGCTGCTGATGACTCCTTATCATGCTTGTGTATTTCCTATCTCTTTGGTCATCTTTCTATCCCCTTTCCCTTTCCTTACTAATTTCTCTCTTTGCTTCTCATTGTTAATATCATACAGCTCCTTCTGTATTTATTATTTATTGAGCATTAAATCTCTGCTGGTGTCAGGCTTGGTGCCTACTCTGGAATGCAGGGATGAACAACACCAACAAAGCAGTGTGTCCTGAGAATTTATGATGGGCTTAGTGTGTTCTCGAGCTACCCTTGTTTTATCTTATTTAATCCTCACAACACTCCCAGGCAAGCAGTATTATCCCCACTTTACACACAAGGTACAGAGAGGTTTAAGTGCCCTGTTCAAGTTTATACAAATAATAAGTGCTAGAGCCAGGATCCTAGTCCAGAACTCAGTGTCTTCCCCCCTAGGCTGTACCACCTCTCTGACCAGCTGCTCTCCACCGGGCATGCGGTTGTGCACCACCTGGGATGCTCTCTCAAAGCACTGCTGTGGGGCTGATTCCACAGCTGCTGAATCAGCCCCCTAGGGAATAGGGGCTGGGTGATTCTGATGTATACTCTTGGTGAAAATACAGTTGGAGTGAAATAAATCCCTGTCTTCAGTTACCTGAGAGAGGCTAACAGGCAAATCATATATATAACCATATATATAATCATGTGCATATCTACCTGTGCATATATATGAATATTTACTGTAATATGTAACCATGAGAAAGAACATGCAAATCATATATTATAGACATGAGCATCATTATAACAGTTATATTTGTAGGTAAGTGTGCTAAGATTACAGAAGAAACTGAATAATGGGCAAAACCAGAAGAGGAGTCCCCAGCCTCTGACTGCTAACACTTGGGTTTACTGCTACTACGTAGAGTTGACAAGGCCTTTGACCCCTGGCCTGGGTGTACCTACCATAAGGTAGTAGTAAGTGCTAACCATTAGCCATTGATAATTTAAGGTGGGATTTTATTCCCCAATTTACCACATCCTTGGGGAAGGGATTTTGTTATAGCATTGTTCAAATTAACATACTCCTCCCAACTTTCTTGAGATAAAGTTGATACACATCAATGTATAGATTTAAATTATACAGCATAAAAAACTTTTGGGCGTAATGAAATGAAATCCTTAAGAAGTTTAGTTAATACCTGTCATCTCATATAGATGTTTTTTTTCTTTTAAAAAATTTTCACTTTGTGATGAGACCTATTAGGATTTTATTCTCTTAATGACTTTTCTATATAACATACAGCAATGCTAACTACAATCACCCATAAGTACATCCCTAGTACTTATTTATTTTATAACTGGAAATATGTACATTTTGACCACTTTCTTCCAATTCCCTTTCCACCTATCCTCTACCTCTGGTAACTACAAATCTGATCTCTTTCTTTGTGAGTTTTCATTTGTATTTATTTTTTAAGATTCCACACATAAATGAGATCATACAGTATTTGTCTTTTTCTGACATTTCACTTAGTGTAATATTGTCAAGAGTCATTCATGTCATTGCAAATGGCAGGATTTTCTCATTTTTTTATGACTGAATAATATTCCATTATAAATACATAAACAGCTTTTTATCCCTTCATCTGTTGAGGAACACACAGGTCGTTTCCATGTCTTGGCTATTGTAAATAATGCTGCAATGGACGTGGGAGGGCAGATAGATCTCTGACAGACTCTATTTCTTTTCGATATATTCGCAGAAGTAGAATTGCTGGATTTTGTATTATCCGTTTTTAAAAATTTGAGGGTCCTCCACACTGTTTTCCACAGTGCCTGCACCAATTTACAGTCCTACCAACAGTGCACAGTAGTCCTCTTTTCTTCACGTCCTTGCTGGCATTTACTTTTGTCTTTTTGATGGCCATCCTAACACGTGTGAGGTGTTACTGTGGTTTTGATTTGCAATGCCCTCACAATTAGGGATGCTGAGCATCTTCTCATGTATCCTTTGGCTGTTCATATGCCAAAATGGTCCTTTGTCCATTTTTATTATGTATGTATGTATGTATTCATTCATTCATTCTAGTAATCTCTATGCCCATATGGGGCTCCAGCTGATGGCGCTGAGATCAAAAGTCACATGCTCTACCAACTGAGCCAGCCAGGTGCCTCCCTTTACCTGTTTTTAATTTGCATTATTTTTTAATTTTAATTTTTTAATTTTTAATTAACATATAATGTATTATTAGCCCCAGG